CACACACTTAAAAATTAAATATATTTTGCACAGTAATACTTGTCATACATTTGTATTCATGTTAATTATGTGGCCATTATTTTCTTCCCTCAGTTAAGTATGGTTACAGCATATTTGTTTCAGCTGCTCTGTGGCTCATTGTATTATTTTGGATTCCTTGGACCCATAAATAAAGTATGATATTCCTGATAATAATTTAAATTAAAAAGACCATCTTTTCATTTCAGGCAAAAAGTTTTGTATCATATTAAGAATTCTTTTGATTTCACTTTTCTGTTTTCAGAATGCATTACAAATGTCAATAATTTAAATTAAAAAGACCATCTTTCCATTTCAGGCAAAAAGTTTTGTATCATATTAAGAATTCTTTTGATTTCACTTTTCTGTTTTCAGAATGCATTACAAATGTCCAGAAGTAATAGAAAATGAGACAGACAGCTATTGCTTTTGGGATCTCAGTACGGACCCTCACTACCGGCTACCATATGAGTACTATTACTTCACGCTGACTGGCAGAAACATGTTTGGTAATTGGAGCAAAAATATAAAGTTCCATCATTACTCACATGGTAAGTTATGAGTCAGTTATTAAGTGGATTCATCACGTAAATTGTTTTGATAAATTTCCATGGTATTACACAGTTCGTGTTGTTGGAGTACCACAAAGAGACAAGTGGAAAGGATTCTTTCACTCAACCTGACAGACACCTAACCGAGCAAGTACACTTACCAATATTTCTAAGCAAGGTACAGTACAGGTGTTCAGAATGAACACATCAATAAAGAAACAGAATAACTTCACTCACAGTGAAGATACAAGCAAGCTGTTTGAAGAGAAAAGTGTAGAATCTTGCCAAACATTTTGCCATGTCAGTAGATCTTGACATTGTTCCCCCCTTTCAGCATATATCAACCAATATTCTGTGTCTCTCCAGGTGTTTTGTAATATATTTGGAATTCTAGATGCTACTGCCATTAGAGAAACTGAATAATTGCCCTTACAGTGATGATACATGCCAGTAGTTCATGATGAAAAGTGTAAAAACTCGTGAAATGTTGTGCTAGTAACAGTTGGAAACACTGCTGCACATGCACATTAGCCATCAGTTGGTTTGTGCAAAGATGGTGTCATTCACACTTCAAGAGATACAAGGGAGAGTCAGTAAGTAGGTCACAAATGGAAGTGAAACAGCTGTAATAGATGTAATAGGATTCCTGTATCGCTAGGTAGCAGCTCAGTCCACCACAAATGCATCAATGATGGCAGAGGATATGGCAATAAATAAATGTTTTTTCCAGGTTCGAATATCACATTTTACTGTGATTTGTTTACTCAGTGCCTCGTAGTTCAGTGGTGTTACTGGGTGGCAGAATTTAAGTTCTGTATGACTGTTCACATCAAGTTTCACCAGAAGTATAGGCATAATCCACCAAACAAACCCCATTGTTAATTGGTTCCAGCATTTGCTATACCACCAGAGTTTTGAGTGACATGGTGTTAGTAGTAGACAGCAGATGACACATGAATAAGTTGAAGCCGTTCAGGAAGCTGTCCAGTGAAGTCCCTTTGGCACGCAAGCCATGAACTGTGAATATCTCATTCATTTGTCCAGAATGTGGTGCATAATCGGCTGAAACTCCAGGCATACAAATTGCAGTTGCTACTGAAAGTGCAGGAGTGTGACTTACTGCAGTACTAGGACTTAGCTGCCAACTTTCTGTCTCAGATAGACAGTGACAGTGACTACCTGAACAGCTTGTGCTTCAGTGACAAGACTACTTTTCTTATATCAGGTAAAGTTAACCACCATAATAGTCATATCTGGGGATCTCAGAATCCTCGTGTTCTGAAGAAACATAAGAAGGGTACCCCGTTATCAAGCATGTGTTGCAGATTAATCACTGCAGGAGTGATTGGACTATCCTTGTGCCATGAAAAACAGTGATATGTTGTCTGTGCTTTGACATGCTGGAGAACTATGCTGTGCTACAAGTATGTGATGGATATTCTTCCATCAAGATGGGACACCACCACATTTCTGGACATCTATCACTGAATTCCTTGATAAGCAATCTACAGGAATGTAGATTGGTTGATGGGGCCATATTCCTTGGCTCCTTTTTTCACCAAGTTTGACTCACTTTGACCTTTGTCTGTGAGGATATGTCAGAGATGTCATGTATTAGACCAAAGTCAGTGACCTACACCATCTCTGCAATGCCATTGTTGATGCAGTGGAGCCAATAACGCTGAAGATGTAAAGAAATATCTGAACGGAGATAGTATATTGGTTGGATGTTTGCTGCCCTGCATAGGAGGTAAATGTTGAGATCTACTGACTCAGAATTTTTGGTGAGTTTTTACACTTTTCACCTCAACCAGCTTACATGTATAATATTATATATCATCATCCTCTTGCATTTGAAACATCACTCATCCAGTTGTTTCTTTCTCTGTTGCAACATGCATCTTCATTGCTAATGAAGTTGTTAAGTTTCTTTATGAGCTTCCACCTTTTTCTGTCTTACAGGTTAGTGTCTTAGTACTACTCAGAAATTTATTTTGTAGGATTAAAGGCTACTTTGGCTTTAAATTGAAGTATGTGTGCACATGTGCCCATACACAAACATGTTCATTTCTAGTCACATTGATTTAGAATGTGCTTGTCTTATTGAATCATAATTCTGACATTTTGAAACTAACTCGTGATTTCTCATTTGACTTTATTATAAGGATTGTAATACTGAGAAGAGTTTAGCAATTTATTAATATCCATTGACTCTCTGTATTCAGCAGCTTGTATGTGATGTAACAGAAATGATGACACTTGTGGTGGTGATGATAATGATATAGGTAGATTTGTCATTATTCACAATGTACGTTGGGATGCTCTTTGCACTTATTTTCTGTAGGGGGCATAAATTTTGATGCATTGTGCACAGAATAATAATGCATCTTACAGCTAAATGTTGTTATTGCTTCCAGTGATACCGGCACCTGCTACTGATCTCACCATCGTTGATGTCACAGTAACAAGTGTCACCTTAAAATGGTCCGTTCCTTATCCTATGGACCTCTTTCCACCTGGACTTGTACAGAAAATTGAATACCAGTCGACATATGATGACAGTGGCAAATGGCTGGTAGGTATATCAAATTTAACTTCCAAATATAATCAACAGTTTGTGTATGAGCCAACATCAGGTGGCCTCATACACTAGATACCACAGACCTACACTGAATTACAGTATGTCTTTACCTTCATAAAGGATCTGTTGTTAAAGTTTGCCTGTTCATAATCACAGTTATCTGAGTATTATACAACTTTCAGTACTATTACATCTGGACATTAGTGTGTTTCATTGCTTTCTTAAAATGTTTTAAGGTGTTAAAACTGAACTCCAAATCAAAACTTCACTCTCATATATTATTCAGTTATATTTTAAGAAAAATTTTAATCTAAATTTCTTTGGTTGTCATTATATTCATGGTTTGTCTTAGCTCAGGTGTAGGAATTCATCTAAATATATGCTCTTGGGAAGTAACCTTTTATGTTTTTCAGTGCTCTTTTTCATACAATTTTTCTCTTTCCACCTCTTTCATTTTCTGTTAGTCTTCTCTTTCCCATCATCCACATATAGAATGATGTCATTAAATATTATCACCTTATACACAAAGATTCTATAAAAGAAGTTATCTTTGTTATGGAAGATGCTGTTGAAGCAGAAGCATGACAGGATACAAAAATATGCAAGGGAGCAATGGCATTAACTAGAATAACAGTGGATCAAAATTACCTGCAGCAGCATATGGATGCAGGAGGAGGGCACATGAATGGGATTATCAATATCAGACATCCTTGGTAAAATTTTTAACCAAAATCTAGAACAATAGTATTCTGATATAGTAAACAGTAGCCACATTAACCTTCATTGTACAGAATTTAAATCCTCCCTGTAGCTACTCACAGCCTGAATTAAATGATAGAATTTCATATTTATAACTTTCCTGCAAGAGACCTGGGTATGAACCTGTTATAAGGTGAAAAGTATCAGAGTGGTAGGTGTCTGTTGTATTCACCTGCCTGCTGTTTGAACCCTGTGTTTGTTCCATACCAAGGCGCTTTCCTTACAGATTCACTTCAGTGGGATAATTCCTAAGGCATGCAGTATTATATGGGCCAATATTATGTTATTGAGATTGATGCCTTTGCCTCAGCCAGTCTGTGAGCTTGGCCATGGCTCACTATCTGTAGGCCTATGAAATATGCTTTTAGTCAGGCTTGTGATACATGGATAAAGAAGTTATCCAGGGGCATACTATGACCAGTGTTTGGAAACCTTTTTGCTGAAGAATGGGATAGAGGAACAGCTGTCAATACAGGAAACAGTGGATTCAGAACATGCAGTGTGTATCTCTTGAAAAACATACTATTCCAGGGCTTCGAAGGTCCCATGAAAGGTGTCCAGTAGAAAGCAGTTGCTGCTGTCAGAATTTGAGAAACACCTGAGAGCAACAGTGATCTAGATCAGTGAGTACTAGAACTGTGGTTATACCCGCAGAGAATAGTGAACACTCCATGAAGAAAACAGATAAGTCAGAAAGCAAACCATAGAAGTACACCATTGTGGCTTCATCATCTGCAGTAACGTTCAGTGATACCTCAAATGTATAGGCGCTCTTGTGCCAGGAAGCCTGAGTACAATCCAGTTTTAAGAGATTTGTCGACAGTAAACAGCAGATGTCAACAGATGGCCAAAAGATCATTTAGAAGGAAACAGATGTCATTGTCAATGAACAGAAAGAGCAATTACGAAGTGTTGTGAATGAAAATGACACAAATATTACAATAAGTGTGATGGTGTGTGTTTTGACTGAAATCACACGTTTTCTTCAATATGACTGTTTAAAATGGTACAACTGTCACTCTTGATATGCTGAGTTCTCCTGTAGTGGAAAGGGAAAGAAGATACTTGGTTGTAAACCAGTTGACAAAATGTCCTTGTTGAGAAACAGTGCAACAATATAACTGCAACATAACACAAACATGTTTGAGATGAAATTGGCTCCATGTTATTCCATTCTTTTCAAAAGCTTGTGGTGTTTAATCTTGCCCAGCAAACTCTGTGTTAGAGTTCGCTGGACACTAGCATTTCAGATCAGTAATATGCTAAAATAAAATTGTATATTAACATTATTGGCAAGTGTTTTTAAAGGTGAATTGCCTCAGTAAATTGTGTTGACATCATTAAATTATGAGGGAGAATTGGTGAATGGGTCACAAATGGATATAAAACGTAAAACGCGTGATATTCAATTCTGGAAAAAAAAAACATTTATTTCTCGGCATATCCTCCACCAAAACCAATACACTTGACCCATCGCTTTACCAGTGCATCAAAACCCACAGCAAAGAGGTCTTTTGACTGTTGTTTCAGCCACTTGTGCACCTCCGTTTCAGCCTCCTCCTCTGCAAAACAGTTGCCACCAAGGTAGTTTTTTAGCAAATCAAACAGATGGAAGTCACCAGGGGCCAAGCCTAAACCATAAGGCAGATGTTCAGAAAGTTCTGACTGTGAAAGGTTTGTCATGGATGTGTCATGGTATCATTGGTTAATCCTCATCTGTAGGGTGGGTTCTTCTGTCATGCTCCAAGTCATATGTGTGGGTAAAAACCTTCAGATTTACGTTTCCATTGATCACTGCAGTAGATGCCATAAATTCCTGCTCTGCCATCAGCCTCTGAGCGTAAGTGCAGTAACAGGAGTCCAGTGACAACTTCAGTTGCAGCTGTTGGAGCTGTTTTCATTACTCCAGTAACACGAAGGCAGGCCATCCTTTGCAGTTCACTAAGTTCAACCTTATTTGCTTTGAATTCGACCCATACAGTGGTAGCACAGGTGACTATGGTTGTTACAACCACAGTATATATTCAGTACATCACCTTTTGTTTCAATTCCCAAGTTTTCCTAACTGTGCCTCTGCATGTCCAGAAGGCCCTGTAGGCCTTGTTGGTTACCTTGTTCATCTGCTTTTTCTCTAAGTCCTGTAATATCTCTCTTCCTAGTGAAAGGTATAATCACTGTCTCATTATGGTTGATGGACAAATTTGTCCAATTGCACAATTGCTGGACTATGCATAGAGCTGTTTGTAAGACCTCTGGCACAGTCTGAGCTCCAGTAATTAGGATTGCAATACCATCTCCATACCCTACTGTGTAATGATCATTGTCATTATGCTCCCACAGAAGCTCAACCATGACCATGCTCCATAGCAGAGGCAAGAGTACACCTCCATGCAGGCATCTCCTAGCCATAGACACATTCAAAGTTTCTCTTGACAGTGTAGTTATTGTGCTCCTAGGTCAGTTTCCTTGCATTAAATAGCACCTTCTATGTGTGTTACTACATGAAGTGCAGTTGCAGTGGACTCTCCAATTTGGTAGGCATGTTGGTTTTGGTATAGAGGATGCTCGTTTAGTACACCATGCCTAATATGTCTGTCCACTAATTTCTTTGACATTTTCAAAAGGAAAGATGAGAAGCTGATAGGATGATATGGCTTAGCCTCGGTATATTCAGATTTCCCAGGCTTTGGTACCTGTCTCCAGGCCATAGGAATAAATCCATATGCCAGGCAGGCTGTAAATGTGTGACAGATGTAAGGAACTAAGTGTTACACCCTTTGCTGCAAAAGTGACTATAGAATTTCTTCTGTTCCCACTGATTTAAATGGTTTGAAGGTACTTCAAGTGAGTACCCACACCCACACACACACACACACACACACTCTCTTTTTTCTGAATTGTGGATCTGTTGAAGAGTGTCTTCCCACAGAACATTTAGAAACTGAATTTATAATTTTATTGAGAGAAGCAGTTGTGTACCATCATTATCTTCCAAAAGGAATACAAGTAAGTCTTGCTTATGACATATAAACAGTGTGTATCTTCTGCCAGTGACTGATAAGGTGATCAATTTAAAAAGCTCGAGATGGAACATACATGTAGCATGATGTTGAAATGAGAAGTGTCTGGTTGTGAAGCCTCCCTGAAGAGGTCATTTTTTATAGCCAAGCCATACAGGAGAATAATTTTAAAGCAAATCTTACAGAAATAAGGTGGTAGAATGATTAAATTTGTTCAAAATAGGGTCAGATGTTTGATATATGTGGTACTTTTCATTATGGTTTGGATTCTATAACAGTGGATAAGTTCCTGAACAGTTTATTAACTATTGAATGATCAGCAAATATTAATGTTCTAGAAATTTCTTGAACATCTTAATGACCCTGGAATTGTTTGTTCTGAGCTCGGTTTCTTTGTAATGTTAGTATTCTGTTGAATTAAATGACCTAAGTATTGATATCATTTGCATTGAATGCTCTTTATCAGGTTGCAAATACAAGTTCATTGAATCGCCACAGTGATAAGTACATATACACCTTGGATGGCCTGAAGTATGCCAACACCCTATATGATATTCGTGTGTACCTGAGGTCTCCATTAGCAGTGGGAGAAGATAAGTGGTCGGCTCCAACTATGAATACTTTCAGGACAGAACCTACCTGTGAGTATAAAGATAACTTGGCTCTTGTTGGCTCTCCCATCTTTATAGCTGCTACTCTTCTGTTGCTTTTATTANCACACCAGTAATATGACAGATGATTTTACTGTGACATGCTGAGCTATGAGCCCTCCCCCACCCCCCGCCAGCTGTGATGCGCCGAGCGGAGCTGATGTTAGCCGAGTCCCAGCATACTGGTCGCTATGCAATGCGAGTGAACAGAGGTGATGTAACATGGGATGCCGCCGTTGCTACACAGCAGGAAACAACTCCCGAAAGCGTTGATAGCAACACGGCGTCAGACAACAGTGGTGCCTATTACGTGGCTGTTTTCTGTGTTGTCCGGAACGAGGCTAAATAAGGGGCAGCGAAGACTATTCAGAGTCAGTTCTCAAGTTAGTTCTGAGTTGGCCAGCAGTTAGTTGTCGAGTTCTCTAGTTACGAGTCAGTCACCAGTTAATTTATTCTGGCGTAATTGCAGTACAGTATTTGTGATACTGCCAATGGCAGTAATGTTGAGCTTGTAAATTGTGTGATTGTAAGAGCGAATGTGAAATAAAATTCGCTATATCCAATAAGGCGTGTAGTTATTGTCGCGTTATACACTCAGCACGTGACAACTGGTGTCAGAAGTGGGATACGAACTTACACACGTGACCGTCAGAAGTGGTTTACGAACTTGAACACACCTCGATCTAGGAAGAAGTATTAAATTGCATAAAAAAAATGGAGGAGCAAAACTTTCAACTAATACTTAAAATGCTGGAAGAATTGGAGGCCAATAGGAAAAAAGACAAAAGGGATATCCTGGCGAAAATGGATGCCGACTTGAAAGCCTGGCGAGAAAATACTGCCGCGGAAACGGAAGCAACCCAAGAACGGACGGCACAACAACAAGAAGAGGTCCCCATAGTGATACCGGTCAGAGAGACAATGGTCTGCCGAGAAATGGAGGCACGTCTAGTAGAAGAAGAGCCAGCTTCAGTGAATAGGAAACCTGAGGCGACAGAACTACAAGCGGTACTCGTACAAGACGCCAAAGTAATGCCGGTCGGAGAACCGAAGAAGAAAAGGCGCAGGGACCGACATCAGTGAAACATGCAGAATCCGACACAGGGAAGTCGTGGATCCCAGAATAAATTGGCCATCGTCCGCAGGAAGGTGTCCCGTCGTGCGACAGTGGCATGGCGCAAGAGGAACATCCTCAGAAAATCTTCGACTCAAAGAAACTGTGGACCGTGGTACAAAATGGCTGCCGACAGAAATCTGACTAGTCGTGCAGGTGCGACACGGCACAAGAAATATTCAACCAGGGCCAATGCTGGAAAAGAAGCCTGGAAAGGAAGGACGGGAACCGTGACAGGACAGACGTCCGGGAGGAGGCGTCAGCTGCAACAGAAATGCAGCGAGGGTATAAGTAACCGAGACGTAGATGGACTGCTACGCCTGAGAGACAGAGAGAGAAGACCGTCAATGTGACTTTCAGAGGAGAGTTCGGAAAACAAGTAGTCGGTACTTCCAGCGGGTTACTGAAAATAAGAAAATGGACACTGTGGAGGGGTCGACCCCCTCCAAAAGGAAAAAAAGAAAAAGGCCCGAATGGGAGGAACCAGTAGTAGAAAGACCGGGTTCCCTATCAAGAGTGAAAGAGGAAAGAATGAAAGCGATGGATGACTGTGACACAACTGGATCTTCTGGCAACTTAGAAGGGAACCGCTCGAGACGAGCTTTGTCTTAAGAGGGGAGTGGATGTAACGGAAGAATAGTCGCTGCAAGAGGAGTAGCCGAAATAACAGGAGACGCAGAAAGCCATCGTTTGAAGAAAAGGAACGGGGGTGCACCATTAGGCTATTCGGGATGAACAGCCTTAAGGAGGGAGCAGTGTGACGTGTTGCGCTATGGATGACGCCCTTCCCCTGCCAGCCGTGACGCGCCGAGTGGAGCCGATGTTAGCCAAGTCCCAGAATACTGATCGCTATGCAACGCGAGTCAACAGTAGTGACGTAACACGGGATGCCGCCATTGCTACACAGCAGAAAACAACTCCCGACAGCGTTGATAGCAACACGGCGCCAGACAACAGTTGTGCCTATTATGTTGCTGTTTTCTGTGTTGTCCGGAACGAGGCTAAATAAGGGGCAGCGAAGACTATTCAGAGTCAGTTCTCAAGTTAGTTCTGAGTTGGCCAGCCGTTAGTTCTCGAGTTCTCTAGTTACGAGTCAGTCACCAGTTAATTGTATTCTGGCGTAATTGCAGTACAGTGTTTGTGATACTGCCAATGGCAGTAATGTTGAGCTTGCAAATTGTGTGATTGTAAGAGCAAATGTGAAATAAAATTCGCTGTATCCAATAAGGCGTGTAGTTATTTGTCGCATTATACACTCAACATGTGACAATATTTTGGTAATAATTGAAGGACTTGGTTTGAACCATCAAGGCTGAGTGGGGTTTGGGATGGTTATGTTCCTGAGGCAAAGAGGTATATCAGCATAGTGGAACCATTGGCAAACCTGATTTACGTATATACATTTCTTTGTTTTGTTGGTATGAGGCTGTTGATGGGCTCAAGATATGAGTACCACATATGGTGTTAAGTGTTATCTGTTGTACAAGTATAATCATGTTCCTGATTTATTATTTGTGTACAAAGAAGAAGAATGATGCACTTTCCTGAGTACCTTTTTATAATGAAACCTATGTGATGGACAGGAGCATGCAGTATCATAGTTGGTTGAGGCATTATGCTACAAGCTGGATGGTCGCAGGTTTGAGTCCCATGGACGTGGATATTCCNNCCCCCCAGTTTACGTAATCCTTCCAGCTATACTGTGGCCCTGGGGTCAACTCAGCCTCTTACAGAAATCAGTACCAGGGATCTTCCTGCAGTGTAAAGGGTGGCCAGCGCGCAGAGCTGGCAACCTTACCGCCATCTGTGAGCCGAATGTCTAGAGAAAATGTGGGATCCTCAAGGTCTCACAACACTATGGGTCTTCACGGCCTGTTAAAGGGATAGCTTTATCTTTTTTTTATGGGTGCAAATTAACAGGTAATTATAAGTAGTATGTCTGGTGTTCTTTGGGGGGAGGGGGGTGGAAGTTTATGTTCAAGTAAGTACTGTATTCTCCTTCCATTGTGCCACTCTTCTTTTTAATGTTTCTAAGTTTTTCCTTTTCATTAACATACTTACAGTTCCTGGTGCTGTACCAAAAACCGACATTGGAAGTTTTGAAGTGTCTGGTGGCCTTCCAAATAGAGATGTCTACATTTACTGGCAGCACATTCCTGACTACCTAAAAAATGGAGATAACTTTGAATACAAAATTATATCTGTTGAGGAAAATGGACATAGAAGGTTAGTGCAAGTTATCTGTATGGGGCAAGAATCTGTGGTTGGAATTTGTTTCTGTAGTTACTGGATTAACCCTAGTTTTCAGTTACAGACTTCTGGTGGTTATTAAACAAGTGACCTGTTGTATGAAATCCCTTGGTTGTGCTTTTCTGGCATTTGGTCAAATGGCTCTAAATTGTGTGAAATTGCATATTATAAGAAAGTAAATAAATTAACATGGGGCATTATGTGGAAGAAGAAAGTGTAAATACAGCATAGCAATAAAATGAGATGGTAATTTTTTAATTTTCTCATAGAACAAAATTCAGACATACACAACAATGTATTTTGAACCCATAAACTTTGTACAAGAGGAAAATCTTTGTGAAGTCCATGATGCATAAAATAATGCTAGATGTGCCTTGTCACTATATGTTTAAGTACTGTGTCTTCTGACTCCAAAAATGGATCACTGCGCACTTTGCAGGATTGTGCCACAACACATTTCTTCCCCTTACTATAATAATTGTAAGGAAATTCTCAGAGGGGTAGGCAGCTTGGCAGGAAATTTTGTCATCACTTTTATTATGTTTCCTGGTTTAATTTACTCAGAATTATGAAAGCTAACCATCTGGATTGATGCACATATATTTTAATTGCTCTATTTATTGATCATATTTGTATACATTTTCAATGTGAAAGACTACTACTTTCTGTCATGGCTGATGACATAACGTAATTTATGTCCATTAGAAAGTTTGGTTTTCCTCTGTATGATTACCTTTGTGATATATGAGAATTAGAACTACTTCAGCTCATCTTGGCTGGTGATAGCAAAGTCTGACTCTTCTTTACTGGTTAAACACTTCATTCAGTATGTATGTGATATCTAGCATTGAAGAATTTAATTAGTACATGAGTTTCTGCTTATTACAGATCACTCAAACCAAATGAAACAACAAATGCATATGCAAAATTCAGAGGAATAAGCTTCAATAGTTTCCGGTTCAGAATTGTAGCAGCGAACAAGGAAGGTTACTCCAAGGATGTGTCAGAAGTTTATGTACCAAGCAAGACCGAAAGTAAATATTCTTCTTATTATTTAATGCATTTAAATGACCATGATTTTATAAACTTGCTAAAAATGCCGTTTCTGTATTTAAAAACCAAATGAAGGCATGTAGATGTTTCAGAGTGAAACTTAAGACATAAACTAAAGTTATCCCTGGTCTTAACCACAATAGAACACTGTAGGTCGCGGTACAAGGGCCGAGAAGGCCCACCCCTTATACATTCATTCATTCATTCATATCCCTGGTCTTAATTGATGAAGCAACCTGCACCATTCTGTGCCTTGGCACTAGATGGAGGTGAGTGGTCACACCCCAGTCTCCTAACCCCCAGGAAAACAGCCTCTAGTACCCATTGAATAGGAGGCTTAAAGGGCCTGAGAGCTGATGTGAACATTATGGAGAAGTAAGAAAAATATGTTGCCCATGCTGCAGGGAATTAATCCCTGATTTCTCAGTTACCCATCCTGTAGCGTAGGTGCAATATCAATTGGGCTCTCCCAGCTCCCATAGCTTAAGACATTTGAAACCTTGTTAGACTGGAGGCGCAGAGTCAAGTTCATGTCTGGCCACTACACTGTAAAGAAAAGAATCATTATGTCTGTTCAGTAGGAGGCCAGGTGTACTTGTGAAGGGAAGATTAATGTACATTGTGGAAATTAATTGCAGTTTGATTTCATTAGTTTCAGTTCTCTTGGTAATCATAAATTTTTTATCAGCTTTTTGGTATGTGTTAATGGTAGTCCATGTCAGATATGTATTTATGTAATCTGTGGTTTAATTTCTTGTTTGCAGTTCCAGCAGAACCTATTTCATTCACAAAAATTGCGTTTGACAAAGGAGAATATGAGCTTTCATGGAAACCACCAGCTAGTGCTTCTGACAGAAATAAGATAGAAAATTATACAATTTTTTGGTGTAACCATGAACGAGATAGACCATACCAATGCACGGTAAGAATTTTTTCTAAGGAAGATTAAAGTGAGGTCTGAATGAAGATGTGAAAAACTATTTAGCACATTTTTTTTATTATTGCTAGTGGGGTGGGTCCCACTAGTACCCACAAGTAGTGGTCCCTTGTACTGTGGCCACTTCTGGCCTATTGTATCAGCCCCAGGTGATAGGTGAGGGCGATTGTGGAGCAATTGGTAGAATGAAGATTTGCAGGGGAACCGAAGTACTCTGAGAAAACCTGCCCCAGAGTCACTTTGTCCACCAGAAATCCCACTTGACCAGACCCGGGATCGAACCCCTGCCTATTTAGCCCATACTCCTGCATTTCTTTATACTTGTCATCTAGTTAAATTTTCTGGTACTAGATACAGTTTAGTTCGTGATGATCTTTGTTATAGAGTTTGTCCCTTTCAAATGTTAGTTGTTTATTTTATATGGCTGCATATTGGTAACTAACTTCATGGAACTGAGCCTTTCTTGGGGATATTGATAACTAACTAACTTCGTGGAGCTGGGCCTCTCTTGAGAAGCTGCCAATCATGCAACTACTTCCCAATTCTAATTATACTTGGAGAAGAATACAAGTTATGAAGCTCCTCATTATGCAGTTCTCTCCAACCTCCTGTCACTTCATCCCTCTTTGGTACAAATACTCTCCTCAACACCCTGTTCTCAATCACCCGCAGTCCGTGTTCCTCCCTTAATGTCAGAGACCAAGTTTCACACCCATACAGAACCACAGGCAAGATTATAGTTTTGTATATTCTAATTTTTATGTTTTTGGACATCAGACGAGAAGACAAAAGGTTCTGGACTGAATAGTAGCAAGCATTACCCAAGTTCAATCTCCTCTTAATTTCCTCCTGAATCAAGTTTCGATCTGTTATCATTGTTCCCAAATATCTGAACTGTGCCACATTTTCAAAACATATGTTTCCTATCTTTATGTCATGATTTTGCCCTTCATTTTGGTGACGAGACAGTAACATACTTAGTTTTCTCTGTGTTTACTTCTAGACCAACCTCTTTACTTATGTCAATTAAAGTTTGTGTGTTTTTCTTTATTATCTACATTATCACCCAGTAGATTCACATCATTGGCGTAGACCAACAGCTGACGTGTCCCGTTTAATTTCAGTCCCACCTGGTTTCCCTGGACCTTCCTAATTGCATATTCTAAAGCAACGTTGAAAGGGAGTGGCAATAAATCATCTCCTTGTTTTAGGCCATTCTGGATAGGAAATTTATCAGACAAATATTTACCTGTACGAACTTTACTATACATTTCGTTTAAACACATTTTAATCAACCTAACTAGTTTCATGGCTATCCCAATCTTTATGAGAATACTGTACAATACTTCCCTCCTAACTGAATCATAGGCTCTCTTGAATTCTACAAATAGCTGATGTACTGTCTCATTGTACTCCCATATTTTCTCAAAGATTTGACGTGTAGTTTATCTGTTATATCGAAACCCACACTGATGATCCCCAATAATTTAATCTATATGTGGACTTAACCCTGAAAGAAGAATATTGGATAAAATTTTGTATGAAGTTGATAGCAGTGATATCCCCCGATAATTACTACAGTCAGTTTTTCACTCTTCTTGTGAACTGGTACAATAATAAGACTCCGTCCATTGATCAGGCAAGTTTTCCTAATGCCAAATAGAAGTAATTTGTTCGTGGACCTTAGAACATAATATTCCGCCTTCTGCTTGAACATATTCTGCTAGAATTTGATCACTACCTGGCGATTTATACCTTTTCAGTTTTGCAATAGCAATTTGAACCTCAAATGGGCTGGTATCAGGTATTAACTGCTCAGCTGTGACATGAAACAAGACCTCGAGGAGTGTATTCTTTTGCAACGTCACTATTACTCAACACTGTAACTACAATTCAATGTAACTTTAACATAGAATGTTGAACAAGTCGTTTCACGGTCACTCCTTTCATATTAACAACTCTCACTAGACTGTAGAACTGCCCTGCTCTCTGCGTAGCTTCCACTGGCTTCTCTCAACACACACTGTCTTCTGTAGGTGCACACTGTACACCACAACTGCCTTCTTTTGGCTTCCACTGTCTTCTGTCGGCACACACACTCTTGTTGGCTTCCACTGCTCTCTGTTTCGGCACAACACACTGCTTCTCTCAACACAACTCACTGCACACACACTACTTCCACGTTTGGTCCTCATCTGGCTTCTTATACTGTTCCCTGTTGCCCTAGCAGCAGTAGTGTCCGCTGTTACATCACAGCAGGGAAGTGTTTACCGTCTCATTGCCTAGCACAGCTCCTCTGCTGTTGCATCACTGCGGGGAAGTGTTTATGGTCCTGTTGCCCCTAGCAGCAGCAGCGGCTCCTATGCTGTTAAATCACCATGGGGAATGGTTTACCCGCACCATGTGCATGATCGCGTTGTATTGAGTCCATGATTCCCAACAAGCTGTGTGCATTTCTATCTGCCTAACACCGCTGAACCTATGTACATTCAATAACTGAGAGGAGTAGTTCTTCCACCTATTCAAAATGTTGTGGGAATCTTCAAGGAGATCACCATTCTCATCCTTCATTAAGTTAATTCTAGGTTGGTAACCCCTCTTAAAGTCATTTATTCTTCTATACAGGTCTCTAATGTTCTTGTTCTTACTGTTCATTGCAAGCTCATCAGTTTTGTCTTTCAGATATTCCCCTTTTTATTCCTGAAATGCCTGCTTGTTTCACGTCTTATATTGTTGAGATTATCCCTAAGTGCTATATTTCGCTTGGATCCTGTAACCATTGCAATTTGGCTTGTTTTCTTTGGTCTAGTAATTTTGAGCATCCTTCATCGAACCATGGCTTATACAGGGTGGGGCGCAGAAACTTCCTTTTTGTGAAGACGCATTGTGAAGGGAGAGGAGGTTGCAGAAAAGTGGGGATAGGCTCAGCGAACATAGCAGTCCCGGAAGTTTCTGTCTAATACCCCTCAGTGTGCGTTCCATACTCACTTCAGAATTAAGCCCAGAGGTCCAGTTCCCGACTGGAAGTCCATTGTTTTGTGGGTAGAAAACTTTAGGACACCCGGGAGTGTGGTGAAAAAATCATCAGGATGACAACGGACCAATACAACACCAGAAAGTGTGGAGGCAGTTCAGCAGTCGATTTTGAGATCTTTTTCGAACCAGCTCTTGAAGAAATCCATCTAGGAAATGTCTGGTTCCAACAGGATGATGCCACAGCCCACACAGCCCGAGCTTCGATGACAGTTTTGAGGGCAAAGTTCCCCGGACAACTCATCTCGCTTCGAGGTGACATCCCGTGGGCAGCGCACTCACCTGATCTAACGCCCTGTGATTTCTTTTTATGGGGATACCTCAAGGCATAGGGTTTTAAACACCGCCCCACAAACCTGCTTCAGCTGAAGAATGTTATTCGGCAGGAAGTAGCCCAAATTCCGGTGCACATATTGGAACTTGCAGAGGGGAACTTCAGAAAACGGTTGCATCAGTGCATAGAGAACGATGGCCACCACCTCCAAGATATTTTGTTTAAAACTACATGATTTAAAACTTTAAAGTATGTTCTTTCATTAGCTACACATAAATTTTGTCTATCAGCAATAATTTTTCTTTTATTCGCCTTCAAAAAAAAGAAGTTTCTGCGCCCCACCCTGTACTTCTTCATTTCATAATAACCTAGACTCTCCTTGGCAGAAATTTTGATATTCTCTCTAATAGTTTCCCAAGCATTATTAACATCCACCTCAGTGGTCAAGTTTTCCAAGGCCACAAGAATATATTTGAGATCTCAACACGATACTGCATTTTACCCTCTACCTCGTTTAATTTCTTGAGATTGAACCTCTCCATATGAACTCTGTGCGTTGTTTGTTTGCTTACTGCCAGTCTTTCCCTAACCTTTTCCACCACCAGGTAGTGGTCAGTATCACAATCTGCTGCCCTGAATGATCAGACGCCAAGTATACTTGCATGCTGTCTCCTGTCTCTCAGAATATGGTCGATTGATTGTGTATCTTCCCATCAGTAGATATCCAAGTAAATTTATAGATGTTACGATGCAGGAACATTGTACTTTTGACAGTAAGATTTTCTGATGTGACAAAGTTTACTACTCTAACTCCATTATCATTACTAATTTCATGCAAACTCTCATACCCAATCATTGTTTTGAAAATGTCTTCCCTCCCTGCTTTGGCATTGAAATCTAGCAAAATGTTCATAGGGTACTTTGGGAATTTATGAAATACCTGTTCTAGTTCTTCATAGAACCTGTCCTTTATATCATAAATTTTATCTTCTGTTGGGTCGTGAACATTCGTATCAATGATATCACACCAGCGACATTTTAATATTATATATGATATTCTATCACTAATGAACTCTACTCTCTTAACTGCTGATACGATTCTCTTGTGTACAGAAAAACCTTACCTACATCATGGTTTTCATTCCCCTTTCCATAGAAATATGTATATTCACCTGCTGGTACAATGCCCCCTCCGTCCCATCTGACCTGTACCCTTGCTAAATCTAATTTATATTTTAAGATGTCTTCCACCACTGCTCTGAGTGAAACTGCCCTATACATACTTCGAACATTCCATGTACCAAATCTCATAGCCATTTTCTTTAGCTTAGGTCGTTTATCCAAGGAATCCGTCTAGGTCTGAGGTGTCTTGAGAATTTTCGTAGCGAGTTTATCTTTTACAGTGCGGAGTTGTTAGCCCAACCCCCAGGCCTGAGGACCACCCCTTGTCGGCTGCCTGCCACTGCTTATTCAATATATTCGCAGCTTCCCTCCATACCTGGAGGGCGTCTCCTCCATCCTAAACCTGAGGACACGCCATGCCGTGGTGACGTGGGACCCACCTAACATGGAGTTGATTGACACTACTGAATTATAATCTGTATGTTGTAAGAGTGGATTAAGGAATTAGCCATGTTCTTACATTCAGAATGTGACAGAGGCTCATTCTGGCTGTGTGAACAGGATGCAGCCACCTGCAGCTTTTCCTAGAATTTAGCTGTTTTAGGCACAATGGCAAGGCTTTGGGAATTGGGTTGCTGACAACTGTGGCAAGCAGTATACCATAAGTTGGTTGGCCCGATACCAATGCTATGCTTGTTATACACCAATGAGCTGTCAAAAGTACCATTTGTGTTTTAAGGTCTAAAATCTCTTAGCAACCATCTGATTGAGAGATGCAAAATTTTGAGACATCCTAGTTTTTTAATGAGGCCAGTAAAGCATGTTTGAGGGTGGCAGTTTCAGATGGAATCTGATATCCTAAGGAGCTTACTGCTTCAGAGTAAATCAGTTCCAGACACCCTAACCCTGAGGAGCTTGCTGCTTCAGAGTAAATCATTTCCAGACACACCCTAGTTTTGACTTCAAGGCATTCAAACACTCAAATCTGCACTCTGCAGAAATTAAAAATTAACTTGTTAGACTCTTTTGTAAGCAGATTATCAGTGTGATAATAAGTGTAATTCATATAAGCGCTGTTTAACACCAAATCCATCAAGTACCAGCCTTTGTTGTCATCATGTGCAAGTGTGTGTGTGTGTGTGTGTGGGGGGGCACTACACTGCTCCTCCAGTCATGCTAGAGCAAGGCCCAATAAGGACCTGGGAACAGATTTCCTGCTTTATTGCTCCCAAGCCTGAGCTAGACATCTCGTACCTATCCTTACCAGAAGGCATTATATGAATTTGTAACCACTACTGCCTGGCCATTATTGGCACCAAAAACAAGTTATTCAGCCTTCCTAACCAATCAACCCAACGCCTGTGGAAGGGTAAGGATAGGACCAGCACAGGTGAGTTCTACAACTATGGACGTCGCGGCAACCTGCAAGCAGTTACAAGGTGGTGTTCAGTACATGGCCATAGCAGAGAAGGGACAACAAAACAGCTATAAGATGTTGCTTCCAACTTGGCACCTTCTATTTTCCAGAAACTCACCAATCAGGGGTAGACTGGCTGCAGTTTAAAATATAAAGAACATAGTATTTCTCTCATATACATATTATGTATTCTATATGTGTACGTAGCATGTCATGTTGAATGTTTCAGGGCTTTTTGAACTGGACTCATGTACCCAGAACTGTGACACTTAAAAAGATCCATGTTCCTGAGGACAAGATATATCAGTTTGCCATCTCTGCAAATACAAAAAATGCTAGCAGTGGTATGGTGTGGGCATCTTGCACTGTCATACATAATAAGGGTAAGTATGGCTGCTATTAAAGCCACCATGTGTTATTCACATGCCTGCCTCTTTGTTGTAACATGTTAGTAGTAGAACATACTATTTCTGAGTTCAATATTCATTTTTATTAGAAGTTTGGTGTTGTGGAAGTCATTTTATATCATCCATAGGAATATATGAGGGTAAGTCAATAAGTAAGTTACAAATGAATATAGAACTTAAGCAAATAAGAGTACTGATTTGAAAAATGCTTTTATTTCTCAACATAATATCCCTGTGCATTGAGGCACTTGTCCTATTGTTTCACAAGCCCCTGAAAACCAGCAGTATAAAATTCTTTGGGCCGCTCTCAGAACCAGGCGGTAACTGTAGGATTGCAGTCACTAATCTGTGTTAATGAAGGTGAGAAGATGAACAGGGAACTCAAAATACTTTATGGTTTGCACTCACATTGATAAATAAGTTGTGATTTTTGGTCAAGTGTGCAGAAATGCATCTAGGTCCCTATAGCAGGCTGTGGAGGCTTCCACATTTTCTAGGCAGTCGGCTCACAGGTGGCAGTGAGGTTGTCAGCCTTGTGCGCCAGCCGCCCTAAATCCCCAGGAATGTTGCTGGTACTCATTTCTGTTAGAGGCTGAGTCAACTTCAGGGCCATACTCCAGCTGAAAGGATTAGGTCAATTGTGAAATCTGGTGACCTCATTGGGAATTGCACCCACGACCTTCCAACTTGTAGCATAGTGCCTCAACCTCTTTATTATATCCGTCACAACACAACTAATATCAAGATCAGACCATTTTTGGCCCTGCTACACATTTCGGCTATTGATAACCATCATCAGGCAAACACATGATTTACGCACATATACACACCACTGAACCACAGAACCAACAAAATTGGATACAATATTATTAAAATATATAAAAAAACACTTGATGTAAAAAATACAATAAATCAAGTTATATAAAACAGAAGTATGATATAAAATAAGAATAAAATTCTTTTGGTGTTTTTACATCAACGTGTCAGTCGTTGGTTTGTGATATGTTTTTTGTTTCGTTCCCACGGACAGGTTGGAATATTCATACTTATGCATATATAAAATTGTGTATGAGGCTTGTAATGTAGATGTAGTAAAGTAAATTATAATATTGGTCAGTGCCTCATCTCACAAAGTATTGTCCGTGCTGTAGGGAATGTAAACAATGACCAACTACACTATCACATGTCAGAATTCATTATGAGCTTTATCATTTTTAGTAGTACTGTCTTCTGGGTATGTCATTGTGTAGTCTGGTAGAAGTGAACTGGTGTTTTTGAGGCAGTACGTTCTTGTGAACTGTCAGTGAACTTCTGTTGGACTGTGTATCAGTACAACCCAGAATATAGTCACAGCTTTGAGAACCTCAAATCCAACAATTTATTATTTTGTTTATATTTCAGTTGTTGGTAAAATGAAGAGTGTATGGATAAATAGAATTGGCTCCACATACATTGAAGTGGGCTGGAAGCTTGATTGTTCAGATCGGATTGGAACTGTTCAGGGTTTCAACATCTATTACTGTCCAATTGTTTCACCTTATAATCTTTCTTGCAAAGGTAAGTGAATTGTGTATTTTTAAATTCATGAGCTGAGGGACATTCAGGTGCACCAAATTGATAGTCTAACTAAGTATCTTTTTCTTGCTTGCTAAAATGGCGTCAAGAATAAAAGGGTAAGGAAAACTTCCCATTTGACAAATAAGGAAAGTTATTTCACATTATTTAAAAGGAATACTGTCACCATATAGGAAATTATTTATTTCTTGAAGAGATACTGATAGCAAACAGGAAGGAAACATGAACATTTCAAGAGCTTAGGCCAGAAATGATAATTTACTTTCATAGAAGTAGTTTGAGTGGTTAGACATAGAGAGATAGCTGACGTGAACTAATAGAGTGTATCTATTTGGCATGCCCACTGAAAGACAGAATTGTGAAGCCAGAAATTTGGAACGAGAAGAAACATCCATTGCTAGATTATGGCATAATAAACACATGATGATGGTATTAAGCAAGCATTTGTTGTTATGCAGTGGCTGGTAACCTTCATGTGATCACAACAGCAGTTATGCATGCAACCATAAAAGAGTTGTTGGGAGTGGTGTTCTCTGTTGGGTCCATCCTGAGGATTTATCAGGAAGAGCAGTGTGGCAAGCAATATGGCCTGTTGCAAAATCCCTAAGGCGGGGGCACCATCTGAAATTCATGGTTCTCCAGGCCCCATATTTTATCCAGTTGATAAAGCCAACATAATTGTAGACTGTTCAGAAAACCAGTTCAGAGTGCGTGACATGACTGTTACTATAGACGACTTATAGACGCTCCAGTCAAAGCCCTGCTGGCTACCAACAATGAAGACATCCCTGTTAATTTCTGACCCTGTGACACCTCAATCCTTGAAAATATGAAAGGCCTGTGGTTTTGATGGCATTCCAAATGTGAATATGTCTGGCATCTACGAAGAAGACCTCTTGTGCATTTAACACATTTATCCAATTGCTGCCTTCAGTTTGGTCACTTTGTGACATCTTGGAAGAAAGCAAAAAATATAACTCTGCTAAAACTGGGCAAAGACCCAAAATTTTCTCAAAACTTATGTCCAGTCAGCCTCTTGTCCACTGCAGGCAAACAGCTGATTTAAAACACAATCCAAAAATTAACTGAGGTAAGAAACTTACTAAATGCAAGTCATTTGGCTCTTGAGCAGAACTCATCTTCCTTTATTCACAGGCGATGCCTGTATTTATGCGACAGAGAAACATGAACTTCATGTTCTTTCTAAACTTAAACATAGCTTTACTGCAGTGAATTCATGGTGTGAGCACTGGAATATTAAGATCAGTGAAGGGAAAACTCAGGTGATCAGTTTCTCCAGAAGATCCAAGAGTCCTCGATGATGTACTGCAACTAAACAGATGAGACATTCCTTATGTAAATAGTGTAATGTGTCTTGGTGTCATCTTCGACAGGAGGATGACATGGAGATGCCATATTGAAAGGACTGTGCTTTGTGGTGGGTTAGTTTATTGTTGGCGCTTAAATGCTCACTTTTGAATAGGGAATGGATTCTGATAAATATTCTGAAGGCCTCAGTCACCATGTGTAGTCACCATGTAATCCTCTCATCAAAGATTACACCAAGATAGTTTACATGATTGATGAAGGGGCTATTCCGTCCATTCACTGTAATCACCCGGGTCTGGATTTTGATGGCATGTCATCTTTTTTTCCTTGTATCCTATTCGATGCCCGTAAATATATAGATCCTGGAGATTAGCTGCTTTTTGTATTTTATAGATTTTATAGGTCATTTTTAAGTTTTTGTTTTTTGGTAATGTTTTTGTAAATTTTTGTACTTTTAAGGGTATTTTTGTGTTATTTTAGCCAATTTAGGGAATTGTGCTTCATATGTTTTCAGAAATGTGAATAATATGCAAGTAAAGTGTTGTTTCTCATTCTCTTTCTCCTGCCTCTACAAAGGCAGCCTGCAGCTGCACCCCAAATACCTGCTACCACAGTATGAAAAGATAAGTTGTAATAATGTCTGTTATGCCCCAAAGGTTATGTACAAGTAGATATGTCTTTTTGGGTAATTTGGAATAAGGGTATCTAGACTTTAAGATTAAGAAATAGAAATAATGAAACGTACCAGGAAGCTTGGGTTTGCAAAGAAGTGTAACAGGCAATAGCTTAGTAATCAGAATGTTAGCACGACAGCGTAATAACGCTGACATTGAGGAAGAAGCTATACGAAGTGGGTCATAAAAACTATGGCATGAGGAAAACGCTGAGTCGGAGAGGGCGGTAGACCTGAAAGAGCCAACCCCCTCTCGATAAACAGCCAATGAGTGGGCCACACCGACCCAAAATCATGTCAGGATGGGCGGGTGAATACACCCCCGGAACCCAGCGAGTCAGCAAAAAGAGGGGTACATAAACTCTAGAGGAATCAATCAGAAAAAACTTATTATTATTAATTGATACAGAGTTCAGCCGTAGGCTATCGCCAAGAGAGTGATGGTGATGAGTAGTTGTTGGTTGGTGATGGCGGCCTGTCTCCTCAGCTCAAGTAAGTAGTAAGTAGCCATGAACATTAAGTGTGATAATATTAAAGTGCAAACTCCAGGGAGAGAAAGTAAAGACTAGATGGACTAGGTTTACTGAGAAAGAGAGATAGAGGTATAGGATACCCAATAGCAGGGTGACAGGAGTAGAACTAATGTGTGTGCTACAGGATAATAACCCACATGTAATGCGAACCGATGAACGTCAGCAAATGGTGTATATAGTATGTATATAGCGACATAGGTGAATAGAGTAGGATAGAAATGCGCTGTGATGTTAATTGAACCTAGCATTCCCTCAAGTGTTATCATCTTCCCAGCCAACTCCAGCCACCCTCCGAATCCTCCAGGAGAATTGCAAACTCAAGCCAAGGCGGCAGATACATCAGTGATTGTAAATTTAACTGAGCCCCTCCTTACGGCATAACAAGATGGTGGCAGCACGACGCCTTGGTGGCATTGGCGGGACACCTCCACGCCCCCCTGCCACTACGGCATAACAGTGTCCCATCCTTTTTGTTCATTTTGCGGAAAGTGCTGACATTACGCATCATGAAACTTTAAGCTGGCAGCTGTCGTACCGACAGCGGTCACGCACACTGCGGCCCTTTCCAAGTTCTATGAAAAGGAATTTGCTGAGTTACAAATATTTCTAGTTGGAATCCCTCGCTTTTTATGACATATTGTTCCTCAGTAAAACTCTGTATGTCTTCAATTTCTCGCCCTTCACCGTACAGACAAAGATACAGTTGGCGAAAGGTTCTCAGTATGAAAAGTTCAGTTATGTGTTGCACTAGAGTGATTCATTTTATCACGATGGCTAAAGCAAAGCCATCTAAATCGTGTTATTTAAAGCAGATTGTATCAATTTGGACATGATATATTTTCAACTGACGGTAAAATTTTATACTGTAAGATGTGTGACACAAAATTAGCGGCAGAAAAAATTTTCACAGTACAACAATATATCGGCCTCAACAAGCATATACGAGCAGTGCAAATTTCGAGCAAAAAGAAATCTGTGCAAGTGTTACTGCAACAATGTTCATTGGAAGGTGGAAATAAGTCATCAGATTTTTCCACAAATCTGTGTGCTCGCTCTGGTGTTCGCGAACATTCTGTTTTGGGCTCTGAACAATGAAAAACTGAAACATTTTCTGGAAGTGATTTGTGTCAATCTATCCCCAATGAATCCACTACCTTTCCAAGTGCTACAACAATCCTGGAAATGATTAGGAATAAAGTGCATGGGAAGAAGATTTTCGTTTCTGTTGATGAGACCTGAGATACAGAGACTCGCTACATGGTCAACGTCATCATTGGAACCTTGGAAATTGATGGGCCAGGTGAAGTGTTTCTGCCTACAAGTGAGGTGCTACCAAATACCCACATACCACCAAACTTGCACATCATTGAAAAACGTCTCTTTTGGCCTCACATACCAGGCTTATGTAGAATTTTGGCAACAAGACCTGCACAACATATATGCCCAATTTCTGCACTGTAGCAGGATATACCCTTAAAATAAAATATTTTAGTTGGCATACAGACCCCTAACCCACCTACATATATAATTTGTAATACCTTTTAATATAATTTATATACTTCTAATATACATTTAATATCTTTTAATAAAATTTTTTTACATTTTATATATAGTATACCATTATTTATTTCTATCTTTTTATTTTTAATCATGTATTTGCTATTTTAACTATACTCCAAAGTGAGGCAAAGTTGTTATGTTAATATTCAATATGACGCATTGCACCGATAAGGATCTGTATTGGTGTTTCAATAACTATATGTATTCCTGCCTGATGATGGTCATGTATAACTGAAACATGTCGCAGTAATAAATGTCTAATGTAATAACTGAAATATTTGTTGTGTTGACAGTAGCATAGTTCCTACATATTATGTATTCTTTGAAATATTTGCCACTTGGATGAGATTTCTGGATGCTTGGTAGGCAAATGACTTGGAGCTCACTGTGTACGAGTATAGTTACAGATTATGTGAAGTACATTGCCACAGTATTTCACTATTTTTTACATTACTAAATTTACAGTACATTAAATAATTTAAGGCTCTGCATTGCACATGTTAGTTAATCTTACTGTAATGTGGTTTAGTGGTCAGAGTTCCTGGCTACAGATCCAGAGGTCCGGGTTCGATTCCCAGCGCTACTAGATTTTTTCTGAGAAGTAGTGGGTCTGGAACGGGGCCCACTCAGCCTCATGAGGATAATTGAGGAGCGGTTCCAAGAAAATAGCGGATCCAGTCTAAAAAACCATAATTAACGGCCATGGGGATTCGTGCTGACCATGTGACACCCTGTATCTCCTAAAGTTGGTACTAACTTCGCCGACAAGTGGCGGTCGCTGGGTCAGTGTAGTTCACTTGCAGACGAAAACCACGGAGTTCTTTTTTTTTTTTTTTTGTTTATAATTTTAATCCAAAACTCTCTTCACATCTGACAAATGTCAGAAATTTGTGTGTGATATCAGATGTTATTGACGTCTTAGCTCTGTTTTACATTAAAGTAATTTTACCTGGAGATATAACGACACTTTTGTCAGCCCCATGAAGTATTGCAGGAGTCACTATAGAGGGGTTTGGATTGGTGACCTAATTTATTGACCACTTCAAAATACGACTTGTGATTACACTTAATTATAGTGCCATCGCCAATCACCACACTTTACACATCACTTGAGCAACCAGACTAGTGCTCTCAGTCTGTTACAGTGTCCACTAGTCGTTTCCTTGTAGTGGTTTTTAATAATGGCTATTCCTCTGCTTCCATGCTAAAGTCATCTCTGAATGATGTCTCCCTTCCAAGGGTGTATTCTTGCTTCAGTTGTCCTCCTTGTTAACATTTTGCATGGATCGAATAGAAAACCCCATTTCCAACAGTACATCTGTTGTTGCATGCATGCCCATTGTGCGAGATGTGTTTACTGAGCCATTGCCTAGAAATGGCTTTACATGCTACACTATTATTCCTGGGTGAGTCATTTTTCCTCAGTCAGGAAGATTTAATACAGCTTATATAGTTACAAATTACAGAATTTTATACAGAATCAGAAACACAGACAGTGAATCATCATCTGCATGAAGTTACTCATACTCTTAAACAGTGGGTCATGTAGAATACATTTGAATTCTAGAACTAAAGAAGAAGCATTTAGACATTAAGGTACGCTTTTATGCAGAATTGCTTCCTTCGTGATCTCTGAAGTTTGATTGCATTTGAGTGTCATCTCTTGGAGAAAAATCTCCTCACACTTTCACCCGTGTACATCAATTTAAGTATTTTTCACTAACAGTAGAGTGGCAGACATTCTGTGGGTGACATATGGAATTGCAGATGACAGTGTGGGTGAAGTGTATGAACAGGAATGGAGGTGAGGGCTGGTGTAGTCCAACAAACAGGTTGCAGGTAGCAGAAGAAAATATGACTGCTCATAGAATGCTCATAATATTAGAATTAGGGTGAAGGTGAGTAGTCTCCTGGTACTTTTGCCCCAAGTGTGCCTGATGTACCAGCTTGTGAAGAGGAGGGAGCATGATTATGCATGAGTATGGAGCTATTATGGAATTATGATTGTCAAGGTATAACTGAAGTCTTGGAGAAAAACCAGCCCTAGGGCTGCTTTGTCCATCACAGATCCCACATTAATGGCCTTGAGACTGAATGTTGACCTCAACAGCAAGGAAGTAACAGCTAAGTACCTGAGACATGGCATGGCCATAGTATGTGATTGGAGTGCGTTTTGTAATGTATGCATACAAATATTTGCCTTGCATGAGGACAGTCCACTTGAGACTTTGAAGTTGTTTGTTGGAAGACAGTAAGGGTCAGGGTTTTCAGTTTTAACAGTTAAACAAGTGTACTGTTTTTTGTGTTTCAGAACATGAACTGAACACAACAGTGATGGGTGATCCACAAACAATTCATGGCAATATATCAAATCTGAAACCCTATACCACATACATGGTAGCCATTGCAGTAATTACCCAAAGTGGTGAAGGCTTGCAGAGTGAACCTCTATACAATACCACTTTAGAAGCAGGTATATGTCTTGTTCCGCTCTATGTTCTGTTTGTACAAGTTTGTATGAAACCTATTGTGTCAAGTTTTGAATAATTTGATGCAGAAAATATCTGGCACTGAGGTGCCAGCACATCAAACATTAACTGGGACTTGAATTACAAAGTTATTCAGGTAAGCGGAAATTGAATGGATTTTCGTGAGGCTGACCTATTTAATAGTCTTATTTTATAAGCTAAGAACAAATATTAAAAATATTAACAGATCTATAAACATAGTTATGCGTAATACATATAGAACATAAAACACATGAACTTCACGCTGTAGTGTACAAGAATTGATCATTTACTGGTATTATAAATTGGAACAAATATGGTTGCATTTTTTATCTGAAGAGGAAAATCGTGGCTAAGTGCTGCATTATTTTATGACTATTTCAAGGATGTTATATCCGGATAATTTGATGGTAAGATACAAAAACCACTCATGTCTTGATATCATGCATGTATTGTGCTACTGATTGGGGAACCTTCTGAACTTTAGTTCTACTCCATGGCCAGAGTTTATGTGGCAGATACATACATTTGTGTTTTTTAATTGTAACTCTTTAAGGTATAAATTACTTGTGTTTCCTCCAATGGGAATTAATATTTTTGACAATGTTAAATTTATGTTAAATATGAAAAAGCAGTACCCAACCTTTTTATTCACCACATATTTTAATAGTGCCATAATTTACATTAGACTATGGTAAAAAGGAAATCTGTCCTTTTCAATATTGTGTCAATTTATAATTTAAAGTAATTATTTTAATTCCAAAACATTGCAGATTAAGAAATTTGATGTTCTATAATGGAGTTTTCATATTGTTAATGAAAGAATCAGTAGCAGTTGTAGCAGTAGCATTAAAAATCCCTTTAAAAATGTCTTTTTTTTTAAGTCTTAGTGCAATTCCATTAACTAGCCTTCTTATGTATGATAGGTCCAATAATAGGCACATTCTCAGATCTCTGTTGCTGAAACCACTACAACAGAATTCTCTCCGATTCATCATTACAAGCTTCAAGGTTTTCATCTTTGACTGTGCCCCATATTTCATTTAGGCTTCTGTTAGTTTGTCTTGATAGGATGAGTTCACTCCAAGTTAATGGTGCAAGTCCCAGATGGTTGGCCATTTCTTTATGCAGCATTTCTAGGTTGCCTTCTCCTGCTGCTCCTCTCTCTCCTCTGCTTCCTTCTCCCCTCCCCTATCCTCCTCCTCTCCATTTTGGGTTATGTGCACTTTGCAATGTAATGTGAACTTTCTTTCTATCTCCATGTTCTGATTTAACATAGTAGGTTTTGGAGTTACAGGGTTTTGGCCTTTGTTGATCATCTGATATTCTAGTATTGGATGATGGGTGAAGTCCAAAAACCCAGTGATGCTGAGCATTATACAACATTGCAGAACCTTTTAGAATCTAACATTAGGTTCATAATATTGTATACACTTTACACACAAATTTTAAATAAAAGAAAAATTTCTGAATGCAAAGAATGTGTGACATTGAAATTGTCTGTGGAGATATCCTGAGTACACAAGAGACTTCAGCAAAATATCAGCCATCTCCTCAGTTAGCTATATTCACCACATGTGAGGTCCCATCTTCCTTATTACACATGACTAAAATCTCAGAGTTGTAAATTTGGATATGATAAGGAAGGTATTTATGTGAAAACTGTGTCAGTGGTGGAGCTGATGAGATCTGAGGACCTCAACACATCAGAGAAATAATGATATATATTGAGCATCAGACAGTTGAGAGTCTATAAGAAGGATTGTGTGTGGTTGATGAGTTGTAGTTTGTATCGATATAAAAAACGCTTAGATCAGAGAATACAACATTAGTTCTATGGGCTCAGTCTCAGGTTAACATTGTATATCACTGAATAAATCTTCGTTAGTTACAAATACATAAAACATCTTTGTACTGTAAACTCTAGTAGATTTAACAAATTACAGCTCTTGGTAACTTATGACTTCACCCTTAGAAGAGCACCTCTTCTTGTCCAATCAACTCTTCAGACTTTACACGTTAACAAGAATCTTACTGCTTTCCAAGACTTTGTCTTTACATCACTGCCCCTTAAAGACCAACGTATATTTTTATTCCACTTTCTGCTGCTCCTAGCAAGCAGTCAGAATTGAAAATAATAGGGACTTGTAACTATGTATCCTATTGAACACTGGGCCCAGATGAATGTATATACAGTTTAATTGATATAATTTCATTCCAGCCCATCATTTGGTTGGCCACCTGCTGGGAAATTTATGCCCTTTTAGGATGATTGCTGATGCAGTAAAATGTGAAACCATCTTAGCAGTAGTCTCATAGATTTCTTAGAACTTGAAATTACACAGAAAGTTTCTATTTTATTTATGGTGTTTGACATTGAAAGGATTACAGTGTAACTCAATTATAGAGAAACATACCCCTCTGGGTGACACTGTTAGGGGCTTGCAAGTGCGATCTGGAGACACTGGAGTGTTTCCTAGTCACCGATTGCTGATAGCCTTCCCGTGTTTTGGGTAATTTAACAATTTGAAGATGGGACCCCATGTATGGTGAATATAATTAATGAGACTGTGGAAGTTTCATTACAGGACAGAATGACAGCATAGGTGAACCAGATGGCCACCAGGGGAACACAATTTGGGAACTTCTTTCTCTTGGGCTTTTTGTTACATAAAAATGAACTTATGCTATTCTCTTGCCCCTGTTATGTCCATTAATTGGCACATATCTAGGAATATGTCATGGAACCTTGTAAATATAACTGTGAACTGAAATGCTGACATTCTCTAGAGTTGTAATCCCAGTCTGTCCCTGATACCACATCCGTTGGAACTGGATGATACTGTATTTTTATTGCAGTCCATTTGACTCTTGTTTTAAATTGTGGTACCAGAGGCTGCTTTTGTTGATGTTGGAAATTTTATTTTATTGTGATGAAGTGATGAAAAAATTGGGCTATATTTAGTTTGGGAGGCGGGTGGTCATTGCTTGAGTCTCGTTTGATATTGTGCCATCCCCATCTCAACTTCATCACCTTTGCTGCAGTATCACTTCAGGAGGATTTGCAGATTCTCTGATACCTTCAGTAGTTCTTTGGGAAGGCTCGTCATATGTTGTGGCTTGTGATCTTGAAATATGCTGTCATATGTCACAGTGACTAAAGATGGTTTTTGGATTGGTAATTGGATTTATTGACTACTTACAAGTCATAATTACAATTAATTATTACACTGTTGCCAATTTGCACACTACAAAGCACTCCACGCTACTGTCTGTAGTCTCTCTCCACCAGTCTTCATGGATTTATAACACAGAAAGTTCGTTAAGTGTGCCATAGCATTATGGTTATTTATTACATACCTTAATTAAAAATACTTAATTACTAAAAAAAAGCTAACCATCATCTGAGCTTTCAGTGAATTGTAATCTTTTTGCTGATGGAGGGTCTTGACTGAATGGTGATGGCTGCAAACTGATTGGGGTGGTGGTTGCTGAAGGTTGGGTTGGCTGTGGCAGTTTCTTAAAATAAGACAACATTGAAGTTTGCTGAATCGATTGACGCTTCCTTTCATGAAAGATTTCTCTGTAGCATACAATGCTGTTTGATAGCATTTTACCCACAATGGAACTTTGTTCAAATTTTGAGTCAGTCCTCTCACACCCTGCTGCTGCTTTGTCAACTAAGTTGTGTAGTATTCTAAATCCTTTGCTGTCATTTCAACAGTGTTCATGGCATCTTCACCAGGAGTTGATTCTATCTCAAGAAACCACTTTCTTTACTCATCCGTAAGAAGCAGCTCCTCATCTGTTAAAATTTTATCATGAGATTGCAGCAATTCAGTCACATCTTCAGGCTCCACTTCTAATTCTAGTTCTCTTGCTGTTCCCACATCTGCAGTTGCTTCCTCCACTGAAGTCTTCAAGCCCTCACAGTCATCCATGAGGGCTGAAATCAACTTCTTCCAGACTCTTGTTAATAATGATATTTTGACGACCTCCCATAAATCATAGATATTCTTAATGGCATCTAGAATAGCGAATCCTTTCCATAAGGTTTTCAATTTACTTTCCCAGATCCATCAGAGAAATCACTATCAATGGCACCTATAGCCTTATGAACTGTATTCTTTAATACTAAGGCTTGAACGTCAAAATTACTCCTTGACCTTCAATCGTAAAAAATGTGATATGTTTGAAGTGCAGTAAAGTGAATCACAATAAAATGAGATATGCATGTATTAGATTGAGTTACAGATTTTATATTTGGATCAGATTTGTATTCACTAAATGTGAACAGAACTCAAAAATGAGAAATACTGTTTCAGGGAAAAGGATGCTATTTATGTGAGGCTTTGACCATGGCCACAAAAAATTAATGCAAAATGTGGGGAAACAGTTAAGTAAAGAAACCTTCAATCAACCTTTTACTGTACTTCATCATATTGTATTTACAAATTGCACTGTTAACTTTTACCAAGCCTTTCTGTTTCCAACGTCATGCTCGTGAACTGCAAAGTAATTTGCAAAAAAAAAAAAAAGAAATATAGGAAACAATGAAACTGCTGCAGTGTGTTGGTCCTGTATGGGTACTACTAGAAGAATGCAACAACATGTAACAGGCATCTTGACATTATAGTGTGTCTATAAATTTGTAGAGTTGATGGTGAAGCCCTTCTGACTGGTCCTGTGCAAGAAAATTACAATGTTAGAGTCCTTCTGACAGAGGATATGAGAGGGTTAGTCACAGAATGAAAGACAACATGAACTTTTTAATTCATGCCTTACCAGACTATGCACTTAGAAAAATTGTGGGATCTGATTCTGAGGCTGTTTTCCCCACAGTTTTCCTTGGCTGTTTAAGATAAATGTTTTATGACTACTATCCATGATCATGTCACAGTCTGAAATTTGTATCGACAAGAGATTTCTCCTACATATTGATTTTTAAAAGTGCTGAACAATTTCTGACTCTAACTGAAGAAAGCATGAATTATGAAAGGTGGATGTGTAGTGGTAAGTAAAACTAGATTACAATAAGAAAGTGCCAGCTTGAACATTATCATATCTGTCCCTTGCAGCACCTGTTGCTCCAGGTCCAGTGAATGTCACAGAGATTACTAACACGTCAATGGTTGTGACATGGAATCCACCAAAATCAATGAATGGGGCACTACGGAACTATGACGTCTTTTATGGTGACACAAGTAAACGGCTCAACATGAACACAAATGTATGTAAAATAATGTATTAGACTTGCACAAGCAAATGTCAGAGATACAACGAAGTTCACATGTTTCTTACTTTATGATGGTGTGAAATTTATTTTGTTTATTCAGCACTGGCTTGGGTCCCCTGCTTCTGAATGTAATCCATTGTACAGATAATTTTTATTTGCTTTTTGAACTACAGTTACATCTACAGCACAGCTGTTAATTGCCCACAAAATTGTAATGATAAAGAGTCACATAGTTACAAACTTGGAATTTGCAATGATATTTACAAGCACTGAATAATGTATGTTATACTGCATATACTATACTTAGTGAAGTGTTAATATAAGAGTTATTAAAGTAACAAAATTTTAAATTCAGATCTGACCTCTTTCTCTAGCCAGCCTCTTATACGAACATACAGTAATTCATTTCATAGTTACAAAGAATCAGTTCTGCTAAATTTTCGAATTCTTAGTAATGTGGAGGTGGTAAAGCTCTTTGGGGGTGGATCCAGACCTGTGGATCTTTAAAACAAATGAAAGACAAAGAACAAGTACAGTGAATAGTGTAAAGAAATGTCAAAATCCAACAGTATGTAAATAAATGAATGAAGAAATATGCTATAGCTGACAAATACGGTATTTCATTGTGAGTATTAGGAGTCAAAGGCACACATCCATGCATTCAGAGTCATATATGCCATAAACATCCCACTAACTTCCTCCCTTTAATTTAAAATTTAGTGGTGACCTAGTATCTTAATTTTGCTCTACAGTAAATACAGTTTAAAAAGTGGGGAGTGAAGAGAGATTGACTTATTTACTACAGCATTAAATCCAGATGTGTCAATGTCCTCGCCAAAATAATAACCATCACATTATGGTATATAAGTTTAGTGAAGGCAATATTTTGTTTAGTCAGTCTGAATTTTGGAGGAAGTGTTTAATGGTGGATAAGAATGGAACAAAATACTACCATAGTCAATAAGTTCGTGGACTTCAGGGGATAAGTTGAGGCATGTATAATGCTCTGTCAGTTCATCTCGTCACAGCAAGAGGCAGTTGCGTGCAAACAGTGTAAGCAGAACTGTGACCTCTGTTGTGAACTGCAGTTAAATGCAAGTGGCAGAAATCGGAAATGTGGCAGTTTGAACAATGGGCAGACATCAAGTTCTGCCACAAACTAATCAAATCCCCTAGCGAAATGTTTAACATGATGAAGTATGTGTACGGCGAAGAAGCTTTAGGCTGCAGTGCCATGTTTAAGTAGCACCAACGTTTTGCGCAGGGGAGAGACATTTTGGAGGATGATGATAGTAGTGGTCAGCCAAAAGCAGTCAGAACTGAATGCAAGATTGAAGAAGTTGCAATGTTGGTACATTCCAAAATTGATTGATGATATCACAGCAGCAGTGGGGATAAGCCATGGTACGTGCCACAGAATTCTCACAGATTACCTGATCATGATGCATGTTACCGAGCACTCTGTTCCACATGTCCCAACGCAAGACAAACGTGATGATCGCGTGACCATTTGTGGATCTGATCAGTAGTGCTGACGAAGATGAGACACTTCTCAACCAGATCATTACAGGAGACAAAACATGGTGTTTTCTTTATGATCTGCAACTTAAGTGACAATTGGCTACCTGGAAATCACCATCATTGCCAAGAAAGAAAAAACTGTGACAGGACAGGTCAAAAGGTAAGGTGATGCTTGAACTGTTTTTCGACTCATCGGGAACTTTTCACATGGAATTTATCCCACACAGATCAACTGTAGACAAGGACAGACACAAGGAGATCCTTATCCATCTATGCGATTCAATTCATCATAAGCATCCTGAGCTTTGGCATAGGAAGAATTGGCTGTTCCTGCACAACAATGCCCCTGCACACTGCACAGGTCACCGTTTTGCCACACCCTCCATACTCACCTGATCTTGCACCATGCCATTTCTTTCTCTTTCACTGCTTGAAAGGAAAGTTATATGGTTGTAGATTTCAATCATGCAAGGAGGTTGTCAGTACCACAGGAGACGCCATACGGGAATTTCCTGCTAGTATGTTTCATGTTTTCGCCAGTTATATCAATGTTAGCAGACTTGCATAGCCTCCAACGGTGACTAATTTGATGGCTGATGTGGATCTGTATAAGTGTATGTGAATACCTTTTAATATGATGCGATAAAACCAGTCCACGAACTTAATGACTGTACCACATATTTTATTTTACTTGTGAGTGTGATGGTAATTGACAACTTGTAATTAAACTTATCCCCTTCTGTATAACTAAACATATATTGTTGCACCACATATAGCACAAGTATAGGTAAATTTTAGTCAGAAGAAAAACCTTGCTGGAAAAAATGGGAGAATCATGACATCATAAAATCCAGAAAATGTTACTTTTACATATGTATCATGGAAGAGACTTGGGGTTTAATATGCTGACAGACCTTCAGTGCCTATTATACAGGTCTCCAGTACTTTGAAAATATATTGTTCTACACTGCCACCTATAGGATACTCGTTATAGCATTGGTAACATGTCTGCCAACTTATAGGACAGTGGCGCAATATTTCAAATTTTTATCTCAGTTTTACGGTTTTCATTTGACTCACCTACGTATGTATTTGTATCTCTGTCAGGCAACAGAGCTCACCAAATAATGGCTCCCAGATTTGTGACCTTTGAAAAATTATGAGATCAAAAACGCCTTCTGGTAAAGAAATGTAATTGTGTGTAGAATGAGGGACATTTATGTTGACAGTGGTGTATTCTTAAATTCTGCTTTCTCATTCACATTCCACATTTCCAGAATTAATATATTATGTCCTTTCCTTTATCTATAGGCCAGGTTTTTTTTAGTTTTGTAGTGTCACGTTTGGAAGTATGTTCTATTTGGAAATTTAGTTGGGGAGTAGCTGCATAAAATAGGAATGATGAAAGAAAAGACTAGAGAATTACTTTTTCATGCTGTTTGGACAACATTCTTTTCACAGCTACTAGTACTGTGTGTGACATATGCATTCATACTTATCATCTGTACTTAAATTTCCTTATTCTCTGTGAAAACCTTCAAAGAAGAGGATATGTTTTCTGTTTGCCTCTTCAGTCTTAAAACCTGAATTTTCATCCTATATACTTGTGTAAATGAATTTAATAAAATTACTCATTGCTGCAATGCACACTGTAATGCCTGCTCTTTAGGTGATGTTCCTAAAGCTTGTTAAAATAAGTGTATTTCAGAAGATATGTATGAATCTCTGTATATAATCTAGCTTAGCAGAGTTTTTCTGGATGTTGACGTGATGATAATCTTCATACAGGAAAGACCAGAGACTGTTCCAGTGTCAATGAAATTGGAGAACTTAACGAGTTATTACAACTACACCGTGAGTGTGGTAGCCTGCACTACCGCATGTTCTGAAAAATCTTCACCTGTTACTGTCCAGACTGATATTGGAGGTAGGTTATTAGTGTATAATTTGGTGTCTGCTTTTCAAGACATAGGTGTATGAAGAAGCTTGACTCTTCAGTTAGAATAAGATCATATAATGGGCAGAGACATGGAATGTACTGCTTTAGCGGACTTGCATGATATTCTTTTTAAAAAAATTAAAAATGATTTTGTTATTCTGTATTTCAGCATCCCATTGCAATTGTTCAAATTAGCGTCCATTGTTTATCTTCTGTCAAAATTGCAACACTTTTACATTCTACACTTCAACACTACATGTTTCGGCCCCAAATGGCCATCCTCAGGTGTTTTTATGTTACAGATATTTTACTAAAACTGTGCTTGACAGAACACTTAAGGTTCATGACAAAAAGTCCTTTAATAATTGTGCACAAGCTGAAGCCAGTTGTTTTGTGTTTGTCTTTCAGCTTTGGTTCCTTAATCCAGAGGGACTGGTCCATGCAAATTGTGCATCCTAAATTCTAATATATAAGTTGCAATTTTGAATTAGAATGATTTAATATTAGAATGTGGATTATTATAATGTTTGAATGGGTAAGGCAAACTGGAGATGGAGAATAATGGAGTAAGACATCTTTTGGGCCTGTTAGTTATGAGGAAAGTTCAAGTTTCACAGCACAGTGTTTATTATAATATATGCAGAATGATTATTACTTTGTGTGCATCATTTTAAAATGTTAAAAAATAACATCAAATATATACATGATTTAAGCACTGAAACATTCTTCTTCTTCTTCTGTAGTATATGAAGAGTTATATAGTGTGCAGATTATAAAAAAGGGAAGAGAAACTGAACTAACAGCAACAGTAACTTTAATCAGTACCACAGTATGAAGCATGTACCTAGGTCTGTTATGAGTATACTGATTTTCATATTAGTTTTCCACCAAGGTTTTCTTTTATAAATTTATTAATTCCTGTACAAGCTTTTAACAGTGGTTAAGATGTATGATGACTCAAAATACACAAAACAAAATGACATTTCAGTACCGGGTATGATGGAACATCCAACAGTCCAGTACATCAACTCATCCATGGTATTGGTGTCATGGAAACCTCCACTTAAACGTGGAGGTCCCATAAATTACTATGAGGTGACAGTAATCAAGGTGGATGAAGACAGTGGGGGTAATGAAACCTTCCTGTACAACACTACAGGTATGAGACATAAGCATTTGGATTCTGCACTATCTGTTCTTTGCTTCAGTTGTTTAGATAGTAAGATGACAGTAGCACAGGCTTGCAGTCTTACACCTTTAAGATTTTATACCTGTTTAGGTTTTTCAGTGTATATGATAAAGTTCAGAGAGGTAAGTATTTTCATGGTTAACTCATTTTGTCTCATTCATGCCACGTTTTAAGTCATTAACCCTTTTCACTAATATCATAGATACTTACTGTCTGATTAATTGATTCTAGGGTTATTTAGTTATGATATTTCAGTTGAAGAGGTTATGTTGCATCAACTGGAATATAATCATCAGTGATGTGTAGGTAAAGAACTAGAAAGAGGCTGTCATGACCTATTGTAAGATACTAGCTTGACATTCAGCTGAGAAGACAAGATTATGTGTCTGTCTCCTAAATACAATTATAGTGTTAGCACTACATGCTTGCTGCTTGCTTTGTTTGCTGAGGATGGGAATGTAAAATTGATGGTTTTAGAATAACATTCTGTTGAAATGGAAGAAATCCGGAGTTGTAGAATATGGTGGTTTTTCTGGAACCACATATAGCACATTAGTACAGCAGTGTTCAGTCTGAAGTTTAAGAAACTAAGTAGATAATGCTTTCTTATGGAGTTCATTTTTTTGGTGGCTGAGTGCCTTATTATTGAATTCTTTTATTTTCTTGCAGCTACTGAATCACAAATTCCAGTCCCAAACTGTGAATCAGAAGGCTATCTTAAGTACTTATTCCTAGTGCGAGCAGTGAACTTGGGGACCACCAATGTGACACACTATGGAAACTGGAGCAGTCCGGGGGAGACAAATTGCTACAGATCAGGTAATAAAATCCCAGTCATTATTCTTCCTTGGTCTCAGGGATTGGATGTCAGGAAACAAAGCTTCAGAGAGGATTTTGAATTAAGAATGGGAATGGAAGCAACGCAAGATACAAGTATGGAAGTACTCCGTGGTTTTGAAGGGGGAGAAATAGAAGGCTCAGGTCTGCTGCAAGAATTTGGCAAGGATATAGATTTTGAATGGTACTGTACCTGTTGGAAGTCTGCATACAGCAAACAGGATGTGAAGAGAATATGCAAACTCTTGCTTCAGTTTCTTAAGTATGTTGCATACAATAAATAGACTTTGTTGTGTTTTATCAGATTCGTGTAGCTGTTGTGACTTTGCAAAAGCCTGTTGCAGCACAACAGTACAGATGAGTAGAGAAACATGATGGGCTTCTGGGATTCATGTTTCTGTTAGGGTTTTATAAGCTATTTGGTATAAATATAAATTAGAATCATAATAGTAATATTTACTGGAGTAAGTTAATAATATTGTTGCAACAAGAAATGTGTAGTATAGTGAAACATAGTTTTAATGTTCCTAATATAATAATTTCTCAAGTAGTAATGTAAAAATTTTCTACCATCACAGAAGACAGTAGTTTTTTTTTTTTTTTTTTTTTTTTTTTTTTTTTTTTTTTTTTTTTTTTTTTTTTTTTTTTTTTTTTTTTTTTTTTTTTTTTTTTTTTTTTTTTTTTTTTTTTTTTTTTTTTTTTTTTTTTTTTTTTTTTTTTTTTTTTTTTTTTTTTTTTTTTTTTTTTTTTTTTTTTTTTTTTTTTTTTTTTTTTTTTTTTTTTTTTTTTTTTTTTTTTTTTTTTTTTTTTTTTTTTTTTTTTTTTTTTTTTTTTTTTTTTTTTTTTTTTTTTTTTTTTTTTTTTTTTTTTTTTTTTTTTTTTTTTTTTTTTTTTTTTTTTTTTTTTTTTTTTTTTTTTTTTTTTTTTTTTTTTTTTTTTTTTTTTTTTTTTTTTTTTTTTTTTTTTTTTTTTTTTTTTTTTTTTTTTTTTTTTTTTTTTTTTTTTTTTTTTTTTTTTTTTTTTTTTTTTTTTTTTTTTTTTTTTTTTTTTTTTTTTTTTTTTTTTTTTTTTTTTTTTTTTTTTTTTTTTTTTTTTTTTTTGTGATGGTACAAGTCTTACCAATTCGCTATATGCAGCAGTCACTATCATGAACACTGTTTACATGTGGAACAGTGTGAATTTGTTTTCTCCCTCTTGTTCATGCCCTGCTCTTATATGGTCCATAAATTGTAAATGAATTTCTATATAAAAATAATGTAGTGAAACAAGGAAATTTGGAATGTTGCAACCATTTACTGGGCCTAATTGATGTGTGAGCTGTTAATGTTCTGTCATTACTTTGCATATCTGACCCAATATTATGTTGAAAGAAAAAAACAAAAATGTAAGTAGGTGAGTAGGTAATGATTCGTGGCAAGTTTCTGCAGAAGATTGTGGGAACATAAAGGATCATTGTCATTCTTTCACATACCCACAGAAGTATTCCCAGACTGAAACATATTTATCCAAGAAGAGAGCTATGAATAGAAATGTTACGATGTTGCTGAAATCACATAGCTTCATAACTAACTGAAAGAGGAGCATATGTTTGTGCAATGTAAACCTGTTGTTGTGGAGGATAAGGTATAGCTGTAATAAATCCTGTCTAGTAACTGAAATAGAAGTCCTTTGGAAATTGATGAAGATTTTACAGTGCTGCCAGAATATATTTATGAAATATTCCAAACAGACACAGATGATTCCTGATGTATTCTGCGGCATGAAAAATTCAGTTTCATTAATATCTATAGCAGTGTGTACATGTACCCTTTGGTTCATGGTAGCTGCAGGTAGGAAGATACATGGCAGAATGGAGAGGAGAATAAGATTTTTGACATGCTAGTTTTTATATATTTTGTTATATGCCTGAAGAAAAATATTGAATCATCTTATAAAATTAATGTAATTGGTAAAACATGTAATTCGAGTTTGGCATATGAATTTAATATCTTCCCAAATCAAGAATTTCCGCATATTAACACGTAGAATCATATTGTTAAACTTACATTGAGAATTACTTCGGCTTTATAGTTATATGTTTAAACATGTGGGTGGATTCTAAGAATTTAAAAATTTATAAGTATGGTTGCCAATTATTTTTATATAGAATTCCGTCCTAAATGCGAATTGCTAACTTGCAGCTGGCTGGCAAAATCTGGCTGTGGTAAAGGTGATAAAATGAGATGTTTCTCTAACATATATTCTTATCTTCACATCTTGAGCTAACAAAACTAAGTATTGCTAGGACATGTTGCTATGTTCCTATAATGTAACCTCTTTATTATATATATTGTATGAACTCTTTTGAACTAGAAACTCTGATTGAATATAAATTTCAACATCTTATTTCTGAACTAACAGGTAATTGTCTTTTCTGTCTGGAATAATAAACTTAACAGTGCTTTAATGTAATTTACTATATCTGGACATGATAGTATCACTTTATTCTCCCTGACTTTACTTGACTCTTTAATTTTTTTTACACTGTATAGAAGATTCAAGCTAATAAACTATAAAGTTACAACAGTTTGAAATAGTGTACAAAGTGAAGTAGCCTCTTGGAACTCACATAGAAAATTTCATATTAGGGATTGGTAGGATGTGTTTTATCAGATATATTTATTTATTGTAAAATACAAATACATTAATGTGGGACTGTTCTTGGCCCTTTAAAATTATGAAGAATCTTTCCTATCATGAACACATTAAATTAGTGTGCTGGGATTTCAGACTGTGACATATTCCTGAAAATATTAATTTTGTAATGTTTGCTTCAGGAGGGTGCTGTTTGTCAACCAGTCAGTAAATTTTGTTACAGTTTTCACCTGATTGTAAAAGTCAAGGTAGAATTAAATGAAATGTTAAATATATTTTTTTAGAGTTCTGCGGCATTGCAGCAGGTTATGGTGGGCGGGCTGTCTGTCTGCCACAGATGTAACATATGTTTCTGCAGTAATGGATTTGAAAGTATTGCCATGTCCAACACCAAAGGATAAAATTGCTTATTACTGGGCAAGTGTGATTCCAGCAGGCTTATGTACTTCACTCCTTCCTAGGACATACATGTTAATTCATTCAGTTAATAAGTTGCAGACAAGAGCAAGAGTTTGTTTCCAGAGAGAAGAGAGGAGAATTTACTTTTCAGTTTTCCATTGATGTAGCTTCTGAGCCCACTGGTGTCCCCTCGATTGGTATTAGGAGCTCCCTTCTAGGGAATAAAAGCAGCTGGCCAGTCACTTCAGTGTGTTACCCTGATATGAAATTGATTTTTATGCTTTATGATGTGCTTATATGCAAGGGATGTTGTACCCATACAGCAGTTACACATTGCATGTTCAGGATATCTTCAGAACTGGAGCACCCAAAACTTAAAATAATGCATGGTAACTGAAGAGGCAAAATTCATACTTCAGGGAAGCAAAAGTATACACTCTTGGTATAGTAGCTATAGGTACAAAATCAAACACAGTTCCCATTGATTCTTTCCAGAATTTCATGTACAGTTAAATACTGAAAACTGAAAGTTAACAGAAACTGTTGAAAACAATTAAATTGTTATTAATTAATAGACATTGGAAAAATGTAATATTTATAATTATTTAAGATGTTTATCTCATGGGCATATGTCCAGATACTGTGTTTTGTAAACCAGTTTTCTGAAACACCTTTTGTTTCGGGGCACAGGGAAATTCTAATTTTTAAAACATCCTTTTAGATTTATATTATCCTATGGTGACAAGGCATTTTTCCATGAAGTTAACATGTGTGTTGCAGGATGTAGATTAGGATACAGATTAGAATACACCAGTTCTGATGATAGAGTGAATTAAAAATATAGCCCAATTACAACTTTTACAAACACTTTGAGGCCATCAAATGCATTGTAAAGAGCACTTTGTAAGGATTCATTTTGATAGGATCCCCAAAATGTTTGAATGTTTGAATGCCGAATAAGATATTTAGGAATCTCTCTAAAAAGGAAATGGATTATGGTCTGTAGACCTAACACTGGCAAAAAATAATGATGGTGACAAATATGGTGGTGGTCTTGGTGGTGGTAATAGTGATTCACATTAATGCTTTCTGCTCTTTAGAGTTCTTCATAAGGCCAGTTATGACAGTTGTTGCATGTTGTGTGCTGTAGATGTGAATTTGTCATCTTGCACCAGTAAAATATCCATTATCAGTGAAATGAAATAGAACAATGGCATGTAGAATTTACGTATTCTGTCTTCCAGTTTAGTAGAATATAGGTGCTATGCCAACTACATTTCTAGGATATGAATGTTTAAATAAAATGCATTAGATTAAGATTTTTGTCTTGTTACATGTCAGTACACGTTACACGTTTTGCATTAAATTCTCAGTATAATGATAGAAATGTAGTTGTAGAGTGAGCCTGAAATATTTATGTTTAATTTATATTTGATTACATATGAGAGTATATATTTGAATTTGTTAATAAAGATATTAATTAATATGTGAGATAGATCACAAAGTGAAGTAACCAGATTTTTATTATCAAGAATGGCAATGTAATTAAGGGAAGGTGGTTCGGAGTTGTTTGCAATACAGGACTGCTTTCTTTGTGTAAGATAAATAAATGTATGATGATTTTATTGTGAAAGATTTTAATACAAAATCTGAAGTTCATCTGTATACAACAAAGTCAAGGAGAATGGGACTAGCAGGTTCAAGGATTTAAGTCCGTTTGTTCTTCCAGAATTATTTTCATAAGTTTCCATGTTATAAGTCTTAAGGAATCGGTAGAGATCTTCAGACATGGATTAAAAAGGAATCATTCACTTCATACATCTGTGGTGACATATCAGTTTAAGTACAGAAGGAGACTGAATTCTCATTTCACAAATTGCCTGTTTTGGGAAATTCTGAAACTGAGCATTACATTTTATAAGAGAGAATAAAGGAAAGTTAGTCATATT